GAGAGACCGTTGGATTTCATAAAAATTATTTTAAAGAATCGTTTAGGAGATCTCGTTCTAGGTAAAGTCAAAGTCGTAAAATACAAAAAACACTACCATTTAGCCTTGCCTATCAGCGAAGAGCAACGTGAGGGATTGACGATTATCCTCATTCAGATTTCCGCCGTAATAAACGATTTAAAAAAATAAAAGAAAGAATGACTGAAAACATAAATTTAGAAACTGTTAACATTGCTAAAACCGATTATGTCAACAATGTGCTATGGAGCAATATTAAAATTGCATTGCAATTAGTTTTTGTGAATTTAACAACCAAATTAATTATATGCAATGGACTAGTTAAATCCTCCCCCCCTCCCCAAAGATCTTTGACTACTACAATAATTGGAGAAATGCATATAAGAGAACATCGAGATATTACAAAGATATATAACAGAATAAAACATAAATACCATTGGAAAATCTAAAGTCCAATGTATTAGGTGTACAACTTTATTTCCGCCGTTTTCCTATAGATGGCTTTAGCGGTAAGTGGTGGTCGAAATAAATAGATCAAAGACGTCATACAATAAACTTGGGCATCTGTCAACATAACCCCATAGAAACATTAGTCGATTTGTGTCTGCATCATAAAGTTATTCTCGATTGAAAATGTCAGTTTACGAGCCAAATTATCGTCATTTGTGGGAGGTTTTAATTTTTTGCTTCAATATGAAGAAATCTGCAGCTGAGGCTCATCGAATGCTCTCAAATACTTATGGTGAGGCCACTATTAGTGAAAGAACGTGTCGTGAGTGATTTCAATGCTTCAAGAAAGGTGAATTTGACGTCGAAGACCGGCATAGTGGTGGAAGAGAGAAGGTTTTCGAAGATGCAGAATTGGAGGCATTACTTGAGCAAGACTCGTGTCAAAATCAAGAAGAATTGGCATGATCATTGGGAGTAACTCAATAAGCCATTTCAATACGTCTCAAAGCCATGGGAATGATTCAGAAGCAAGGAAATTGGGTGCCGTACGAATTGAAGCCGAGAGATGTTGAACGGCGTTTGTTTGCTTGTGAACAGCTGCTTGAAAGGCAAAGACGGAAGGGATTTCTGCATCGCATTGTGACTGGGGACGAAAAATGGGTTCATTACGATAATCCCAAGCGCAGAAAATCATGGGGAGTTCCCGGCCATGCTTCCACGTCGACGGCCAAACCGAATATTCACGGCTCCAAGGTCATGTTCTGTATTTGGTGGGACCAGCTCGGCGTAGTGTATTATGAACTATTAAAACCGACTGAAACAATCACAGGCGATCGGTATCGAACGCAATTGATGCGTTTGAGCCGAGCATTGAAAGACAAACGGCCGCAATACAACGAGAGACACGATAAAGTGATTTTGCAGCATGACAATGCTCGACCCCATGTTGCGAAAGTGATCAAGACATACTTGGAAACGTTGAAATGGGAAGTCCTACCCCACCCGCCGTATTCTCCAGACGTTGCTCTCTCTGACTATCACTTGTTTCGATCAATGGCACACGGTCTGGCTGACCAGCACTTCCGGTCTTATGAAGAAGTAAAAAATTGGATCGATTCGTGGATAGCCTCAAAAGATGACCAGTTTTTTCGACGCGGGATTCGTACGCTACCCGAAAGATGGGAGAAAGTAGTGGCCAGCGATGGACAATACTTTGAATCATAAATGTATAACCAGTTTTTTACAATAAAGCCTCGAATTTCGGAAAAAAAACAGCGGAAGCAAAGTTGTACACCTAATACATACAACAACGTTTACAGTTAAAAAAACAACCTACGATAATTATACATCAGGATCGTCTTTTAAAGTAACTATGGATATCATAGCATCTTTAACTGGAAGAAGCAACGAATATATTTTAATCCTGCAAGTTAACTAAATTTTGTATCAGAATACCTTTACCGTATCAAACATCAAAAACAATAGCAGAAACCTTTGTCGAAAGATTTATTTACGTATTGGGAGCGCCTAAAACAATATTAACAAATCAAGGAAGGAATTTTATCAGTGAATTAATGAAGAAGATAGCAAAAATATTTCGAATTCGCAAATTTCGTACAACTGCATTTTAGTCAAATCTCCTCAGTCAAATAGATCCCTAGAACGATCATACCATGCATTAGGAGAATACTTGAAACTATACGCAAATGAGCAGAAACAGTGGGACAAATGGATCAGCTTTAGCCATTAATTACAACACTAGCGTCCACGAGGCCACGAAACATACTCCATACGAATTAGGGTTCGGTAAAATAGCAAGAGTACCGTCAAATGAACTCTGAAGATAAATTAGCTAATTACGATGATTATCTAATAAATTTACACAGCTCTAAACAAATGCGTGAAAATGTCGTAGAAGCTAAAGTTAAATCGAAAAAACATTATGACAAGAAAATTAACAGAAAATTCACAGAAATTCAAGCCTGGAAATCATATATTTTTAAAGAGACCCGAAAAATTTAGAGATCAATATATTATAGGATCTCATAAAGTCTTGGAAATTTTAAACAGAAATAATATTAAAATTAAAATAAAGAAAAATAGTCGCATTGTTCACCGCTTGCGAATTTCTCACATTAAACCTGTTCATAATAATTAAATAAATTAAATCGACATTTCAGATGATAGATTGGTGCATCAAAGGAATAACTGTCATATTTATATTAATAATGTGAACTCAAGGAACTTATGGAATAATAGGATACTGTTGTTTCGCAATAGCAAATTTAACTATGTTATCACTAATAAACGTCGATTTAGTTACATTCCCCCACAGAATGTTAAGTTTCTCTAGCAAAGTCTATATATAAGTATTTCAACTCAATGATTTTAAATGTGTGAAAATAATACAATGTAAAATCGAAATAGATCGTACAGTAAAAAGATGTGGGGTTTTCACATATGATAGACGTATATAACAGATAATTCTCATAACCAATGTATCTCGAGATGCATACCTATGGAAGCTTTGAAATAATCGGAACTCACATAACAGGTCTATCTAATTAGACTGCATCACGTCCAATAGTGTTGGCCGGGCACAATGATGGTGCATGTACCGGCAGTGCTTATTCTGATCCTTATGGAAATTGGAAAAATGACATTGTATTAGGCAGTCAAAATTATCTTACAAGGTTACATCGCCACGTTGGAATAAACACAAACCGTGTACACCTCAAGAATAACCTGTGAATTAAATTCCATTTATTGCACTGATATAGAGGAAGAGGATTCCTTTTGGAATCCCGATCATTGCAAAGCTTCCGATTATGGTGTATTATATAATGGATACGCTAATAAAATACTTGATGCTATCAATGAGCGATCTCAAACAGGCTCCTCAATAACCACGACAAATATGATTCTCTCTTTAATCAGTACTAGAACATACCACCTGTGGACATATACTTATCAGGACGGAATCCAAAATTAATAATTTTCAAAATGATATTTAGTGCCGAAATTTTTAAAAGCTCTGGTTCTATAACAATAAATATCGATATTTTCGTATAAATAAATTCAAAATTCGTAGAAAGACACATTTCTACTCAAATTAATCAACTATACAGAAATATATTATTGCAACAACTTATATAATGCAGATATCGTATAATGCAGAATGTATTAGCTATAGCCGCTAAATTACTTGACATCTTTGCAATCATTTTATGAAAGGACTTGGATATATGGCACTTTTTGCAGGAGAAATAATTCACATGGTGTAAAATATGTATCGAAGTAAAATTAGCTCGAACACAGAATATTACGAGCAGTTTCCAGTACGACCAAACATATTTTCTGATTCCGCAAACACATAATTAACACGCCATGGAACTCTTTCCTAGTAGATTACCTGTAATTCTTTTGCATCCACCATGTATCTTTTAGAAGATTCATAGTATAAAATTATGCCTAAACCGATGGAGACATTACCACTCACCATTGTGAAGCCTTCAACTAAACTGTCATGGAAATATATTAGCCCAGAAGCATTAGCGATCAGTAGAATATATTCACAAACCGATCTGGAAGAACTCAAAGATCACATAATATCCCCCGCGGAACATCCTGCAATCCTCAATAATATGGTAGAGGCATATTAGAGAGCGTTCAATCATAATAAATGGAAAATCACTCTCTAATCTCATAGACGAAGCATCAATAGAAAGAATTGCTATTTCCGCTTGGAAAAAATTCTGGAATAAATTTTTAATCTTTAGCAATATCAGCTGGATTAATCAGGATATACCTAATTGCTAGAGTTATCAAACTACTATTAGATACATCCGTACATGGATATGCTCTATACACTTTTGGTATTGGTCCGGTTAGTCGGTGTACCTACTGAGAGCCGTGTGGGACTCACTTACTCAATTTCATTACATAGGAAGGAATAAAACTAAAGAAGTAAATCCTAGCGCTCCAGATTTCGAATTACAAAAGCGTAACGAAACTGAGACTAAATTAAAACTTATTTATTTATTCTCTTCTTCCCCCAAAGGAAAAATCCATTCTTGAATTGAAAGACTGAGCAAGACTTAAAGAGAAAATCTGGCACGTCACAATTTTCCTTTCCTCTCAACATATATATATATATATA